GTTCCAGAGCAGGCTTGGAACAATCTTCTGTCAGGACCACACTGTTTCGTAAAATGGACCTCATAGGAAGAGCTGACCCCCTAGATTCTCTCTTGGCCAACAACTTTGGTGAGTGTTGGTCTAACTTCTTGACTGGCCCTAACCCTAACCCTCGGCAAACACTGGGGGATGGCTGTTTCTGCTCCTGTACTCTTACTTGTTTCACACTCTTTGGTTTTGGAGCGGTTTATGCCTTGAGGTACTGTCACCTGTTTTTTGGGCGTCTCATCGGTCAAAATTAAAGACTGACGAGGCTCAAACTTCCTCTTGGAGTTTACGATGAAGCCTTGTCCGTCCTTATAGAAGTGAAGACGGCTATCGACTTCACCGTTTATTTGGCCCAGAGGAAGAGCGATACGATTTTCCATGGAAGCTCTATGGATGGCCATCTCCACTTGCTCTTCGTACTCTTCCTGTTCTGTCTTCTTCTGGGTCTCTCTCTCCTCCTGCTCCTGACTTTTATGCCGTTCCTCCAGAGGGCGTTTATTGTTTGGAGCACACTTTTCCATCCGCCGCCATCTTCGCTGGGCCTTCCTGCGCTCTGACTCCTTCCTCCTCCTGCTCTCCTCGAGGTCAGACGTGTCTCTTGCCTGCTCCTGCTCTGCTTGCCCTGACTGTCTTTTTTCCTAGAGTTCTGCCTGTGTACAACTTAAAAATGATGGAATTAATCAACTGGTCCCTCAACGCAATTGATACTATTTTTTCATCACGTAAAGGCGGTTCTGGAGATGCCGTTTGCCCGGATGGTAAGGCGGCTGCGGGGTACGTTTTTGACAACTGGCAAAAGTGGCACCCCGTTCGTCTGTCGGGACTGTCCATCGAGGACATTGAGGATATATACATTTTTGGATTTATGGTAGCAGGGTTCCTCCTGATTGGATTTGGAGTTGGCTTGATCTACCGCAAAGTTGGAGGGCTGTCCACTCAGAAGATTTACGAGCGGCTGTCCGCGGAAAACAAGGAGAGTTTCCGCGAGTTGGTCGGTGAACGGAGGGTCCAGTTCCAGTATAATTTGGACATATTGGCTTTAGTTACACTGCCTTCATTGAACAGCTAAAGTGCTTATACAAATTTCCCACAAGGGCATGTGTTGTTTTGTCTCCAATGTTTGCAGGCACCTGCGCTATCTTTGTCCTTCACATTCCATCACCGCACCGGCCACTCAAGGCCGACACTGGACTCTATCTAACTCAGACTCACAACCCAGAACACCAGTTACAGTCCCCCCCCCCCCCCCCTTCTACATGTCTGCCTCCCTCTCTTTTCAGTCTATGAGACAGGCCTCCTCTCTGACAATGTTTAAAACCAGGTTAAAGACAGTTCTGTTTAGCTGTGCATACAACTGAGGGATTTTATATTTGTATCTTTCTTTTTAATGTTCTGTGATTATTTATGATTTTAATGCTTTCTTATTTTGTTCAGCACTTTGAATTGCCTTGTGTATTGTGCTATATAAATAAACTTGCCTTGCCTTGCCTTGCCTATGGTGGTCTTCCCATCCACCTCCCCCACCCACACTCCCCTCTGACGCGCTATATTGGACGAGGCGGGCCAGAGTGATGACTTCCCATTAAAAAGATCCGCATGTTTTCCCACATGTACCGTGTCTCTCCCATGTCTGTTGAAATATGTGTCTGTTTTGCTCTCTGCTGTTGAATAACTGTCATAAGGAGCGCGGAATATTAGAGTACGCGGCCGGCCTTGATGTTTATTCATCGAACTGAATTTCTCCATCTGTGTGAGATAATAAAGGATTGATTGATTGATTGATTGATTGATTGATTGACTCCAGCCCACATTGTTGGCGTGTCTTCATCTGTTCTTGCACCAGATGGATCTGCAGAAGTTGCTGCTCTCTCTTCTGCTTGAGTTCATGCTTCACCTCAGCGCTTAACTCGTCTCTGGCCTCAGCTTCTCTCTGAGCCAGTTCCTCCTGCTGCAATCGCAGCCTCTGCTTCTCTACATGCTCACGTATTATGTTCTCAGCGAGTCGAGAGTCCTCATTCTCCCGTTGTATGATCCTTCTCACTTTTCTCCTGGTCTCCATTTTGAAGCTGTAGTGATTTATGAGTCGTCCTGTGTTGTGTTTTTGCAAAGCAATGGTCCGCAGGCACAAGCACCCCACAATACCTTAAGATTGTGGTGATGTCATTAGCATTATGACATCATCGCCATGGTAACCAAGTATCATAGCAACAAGATTACTAACAGAAAGTGTTTCCATATTTACCATAGTAACATAGTACATAGTGCACTGGTCTTTAGACCTAATGGTTGTGGGTTCGAGCCCACCACGACCCATGTCATCTGCTCCCACTGATGTCTGCTGTCGTTGTGTCCCTAGGCAAGACACTTAACCCCACATTGCCTGAAGCCCCCGCTGAAAGACCAAGGTCATCTCGTCGATGACGGAGAAGCCATCATCCTGTGGACCCACCTCCTGCAGGAGGATCAGCGAGGGACTGGTGCTATGAGACTCTGGTGCTCTGATTGCCGACCCAGAAATTGATTAATAAGGGGAAGACAATGCCATGACATATCATGACACATCAAACTTTAGCACTTTACTACATTTGATCTGTAAAGGTGTGTTCTGTTTCTGCTCCACTTCCAGGCAGCTCTAAAGGAAAGGTCTCATATCAAAGAGATATTAGAGACTGCGGAAACAGACTTGTGTTTCTTGTAATAAACGTCAGAGTAGTTTTGTATGGGGTCTTTATGTGTGAGCACGAACCGATCAATGTAAGAAAGCTTTACAGACTGATTCTGGTTCCAAGTCTGTTGGATCCAGAATCTGTTTAGAGCTGAAAAATATGTTGGAATGTGAGGTAATAATGCTTCAATAGAGTGGTTTTTATCTAAGTTTGAGTACATTCTGAGTCTTACAACAAGATTGACTTATTTCACTTTTGTTTATTTAACTGGTTTCTCTAGCTAGTCATTGTTCATCGTTATTTCCACGACTTGGACTGTGAGGTACAGGGTAATGTCTGAAGTTGTATCCGAGCTACGGAGCTCCTCCTTGGAGAATAATTCCGAACTTTTTGTGGTTTACAGCTCAACAAATCACCGAAATGACAATAAAGGGTCATATTTCTCGCCTCAAATGTTGTTTAAAGTAACATTTGTGCCCTATTGATTGTATTATTGATCAGAACTATCATCTCAAACGTGGTTCTGTTGATCCCAAAGCGATGAGCTACACTGTCGTCACTATAACAATCCTTCTCATTGTTGAAAAAATTAGACTCATTCAAACTCTACAAAGCGTACGCTACATTTAAAAAGGTTTTCACTCAAAATAAGAGTGATACTAAGCCACGAAAAGCTCTTGTCTGTGAGTTTTCCCGCATCGCCCATTCTATTTAATAGGAGAAAAATACTTCCTCTCCTATGGCCCCTTGCCACGCCCCCTTTTGGTCACGTGGTTGCAACCCGGCAATGGCAGTTTTTTAAAGTAAACAGTAAAGCGGACTGTACGTTGTGTAAAACTGTGATGAGGTGGGTCCATAACAAACACGTACAACACCAGCAACTTGATCAAACATGTGAAAACTAGTATAGCAGCAAAGTAAAGCACCTTTTCTAGCACCAGAGCACAAAAACAACCAACTCTACAACAAAGCATTTGTATGAGTGGAGTATGACAATAGCTTTTATTGTTGACTATTAAAACAATTGCTATAATATTTAATTGTTAATATCATTTCTTATTGTTGAAATGAGAAATAAAACATTTTGAAATTTTAGTAGTATTAGTTTTATGAATTCCCAGGGATAACACAATGCAGTACTTGTATCAATATTCGGTATCAGCAAATACTCAAGTGAAGGGTCTTGTTTCAGTTTTGAATAAGGTGGTATTGGTGCATCCCCAGTTACAGGCCATGGAGAGACTTGTAACAAGCAGAGCTGCTTTAAAGTATTTTCTCTGCGCCACAAGAAGCCCGTGCAGAGACCTGAGAACTGGACTAATCATATTTCTTTAGCCCTATTCGCACAGGATTAGTTTTACATGGGGACCCCTGGCAATTTGTGATAATCACGGAGAACGTCTGAGATCTGACAGCGCATTCGCACGGGATGAGCAATATCTGTAATTTTCACTGACATCTCACATAACGGCCGCACGTGCGTGGGTTTCTCCGCTTCACACAGTTCATAAAGACTGGCGTCTGATCACAGCAGCCACAGGTACCATGAGGACAAACACATACATGCTCTACAGTTCTCTGGCCTGTACTTTCTGTAATGTAACTTTTTGTACGGACTACCCGTGAACGCCCCACATACTCTAACATTAACGCGAGCCGACAAATAGTAACGGCTGCATCAACACGTCTGTACTGTAGTAGGACATAGTGCAGAGTAAACGTACAAATGCAACCCTCTGATCATTAGTGTCAGTGAACACATAAATGTCCTCTACACTTCTCCATAGACCTCACAGGGACAGCAGCAGCGCGACTCTGCAGCTGTGTACACTCCTCTGCTCATTGACAAAAACAACGCAGAAAGTAAAGAGAAAGCGGCAATAGCGATCACAATCACTGACATGCAGATTCACACGGGATTAGTATTATCAGAGGACGTCTGTTTGGACAAATACAGGAGGTAATTTACAGTGGATTTATTACTTTACAAATTACAGACATGGCGTATTCGCACAGGACTAAAATCTCAGACATCCTCTACGATGATCACAAATTACCAGGGGTCCCCATGTAAAACTAATCCTGTCCGAATAGGGCTTTTGCCTACCTCGAGGTTTGAAAAAATGAAAGATGGATTCAAGTAAAGCTTAACATGGAACAGTGTTACTGTTAAAGTATAACAGTGTTATGGTAAAGTGTCCAGGAACACTTTCAGTTGCACAGGACGGACGCTTCATCAGGAGATTGTGAGCCTTCAGACCCTAGAACAATCTTTTGAACCTTGTGTTGTGTTTGTTCTCTTCACAGACTCACCATAAACGCAGAATGCCAGCTCCAGTTCCACAACTTCCCCATGGACGAACACTCCTGTCCTCTCATCTTCTCCAGCTGTGAGTTCTACACAAAATGTTGACAAAGTATCAAAGATAATTCCAGTCTCATTTCTTTTTTGAGCTGTTAACCATGCACACATTGTTCCTATACAAATGTATTTATTTATTTGTTTGACAGATTCAGTACAGACAGTAGAGCAAACAATAATGCAGAATTCATAGAAACTAATACAAACACAGAAGACAAAGACACACATACACACACCCACTCACACACACACACGTTTTTGTTACCTGGTGGGTCCCTTTGACAGGGCCGTTCAGAATGGGACCCATAGACATAATCTTTTTTACTGGGACTACTTTAAGTAATACAAAACAGTCAATAGAAAACAAACAACTCTTTTAAAGGACTTTTATTTTTGATTTATTTTTTGAATTGCAGTGATTCTATTTTTGACATAGAATGTAATGCCACTCCATGTCCCGATGTCTAAGGTCATCTGGTGAGGCATTAATGCAGGCCAGGCAGTGAGACTTCCCAGGGACCTTTCCAGTCTGTATGAAAGGTGTCATGGTCTTCTCCACAGCCTTCACCTCAGATGCAGACCATGGCTTTCTTACACGTTCTAGGGAGAGAAATAAAAATATATTAGCAATATACACTCCCAGGGTTAGGACCAAGCAGCCTGGCTGTAATCCCCCACCTGGTACACTTACCAGAAGGGGCACTGCCACTACCATGGGGTGCATCTGGATGAATGGTTGAAGGTTCTCCGCTTGAAGTTTCTTTTAGCCCGTCTGTTTGTGAGAGGATCTCTACTGCTCTCCCTGTAGCACAGAAAATAAAAATACAAGTGGCCTTTAGGGGAAAAAAATGATACATATTTTAATAATATCAAGAATTACCTTCAGGCTCAATTTGTATCTGGTCGAGGCTCTTTCCTTTGAATTCCGTCACTCTTCCCTGCTCCATGGCCATCAACACTTTGCTGATTTTGGCCAGCTCCAGTGTCCCCTCTGGTAGTCTGTAATATTGTCTGTGGATGCGAATGTCATGGCCGAGGAAGTTGGCTAGTATGTCCATTTCATTCTCTTTCATATTGAGAACTGTAGACATAGTAGCTATGTGCTTTCTAAGTTTGGTTGAGGATAGCATCTCTGGATGCACCGCACCACATTCTTTGGCTACCTGCCGTAGGGAGTCTGATCCCCTGATGTGGGTGTCTGCACCCGGGCGGGAGAAGAAGTATGGGTTATGGTCAGAGATGGAACAGGCCCTTCTGTTCTCCACCAGCACCTCCATGGAAGCAATCATTTCAGGAGTCAAAAGAACCGGCACTTTCCGACTTCTGTTCCCTTTGATTTCAACGCGTTGAAAATGCTGACACAGCTTTTTCTCAAGTTCGGACAGTCCCAGAGCAATGTCAGAATGGATCCCAGTCTTACTTCTTAAGGTAAACGCTGTCAGTGGCATCTTTGAAACCTCACCTTCCCTTCTTCGATTGAAAATAATGACCTCACAAAGAGTCAAAACTGCCAGTTTAGACCAATGCTTAGAGGTTGGCTCACTTATTAGGGTTTGCACATATTCAGGTTGACATACCTCGATATGTGCATGCATGGCTCTAACGTCCTCAGTCAGAGGGAGCAGGTCCGGAGTGTTCCACTTGGCTTGCCGGAGGTTCTGTAGGGCAGCAGAAGAAACACAGACGTCCCACCTCTTCTCAAAAAGCAGCCGGCTTCGTTGGAGGTTTTTAATAAATAGTTCATCAACACAATGCTCCATTTTTGAGTCACATTCAATAATATCTGCTAGCTTTCTGAGGCTATGGCCGAGTTTGAGGGCCAAGGATGGAGTCTTGTATTGATTTGTTTCCTCATCATATCCAGCCACAGACCTGACTGCATCAATCACATGGTTAAAGTTGGAAGGAATAAAGAAATCCTTAATTGTTTTCAGTTTCCCTGCCGTTTTTGCTTCGTTAATTAACCTACCGACTTCTCTCATTTTCTGCCTAATGTAATCATGCTTAGTCTTATCATGCCCGTGTTTTAAGTACAGGTGCTCTCCGAGTCTCAGAATCCCCTTTTCTGCTTTGACAACACCCGTGACCTCATCCTGATGCATTGCCGCAATTAAAGACCACAGCTTTTTGCTGATGCCCTCCGGTACAGGCTGGGCTATGGAGCAGAGGGACTGGACCCTACTTCTACCTGGTTTAGCCTGGGCATCTTTCTGTGAAAGCCGGCACCTGGCCACATGCCTCCACAGCGACTTTCGCTTAAGCAATGCCCCACAGTCTATACAGTGCAAAAACTCACTGGATTTAACTGGGGAATTTGGCTGTTTAGCTGGGACTAAAGTTCCAATGCCGGCCTTTAAAACCTCAAAATTGTGCTCACGGTTTCCACTATTTCTGATCAAATCAAACTGAAGTTTACGTGCTTTAGATTTCACAGGTAGAGCCAATGCTCTGGCTACGTCACTTTCATTTCCATGTTTTCTAGTCAAATGACGGGACATTTTGTGGCAGGACATTGAACAGTAGAGGCAGAAGTGCCTCTTGCTGTAAACTCTCCCCCCATTTTTCTTCTTTTGCAGCTGCATGATAACAATCTTATTTGCGTTTGGTTCGTCACTTTCCGAGTCTAGAAGTGTTTTTGATTTTTCTTTTTCCATACTTTTTTACAGGTTTACAGTTAGTATTTACAGTAGTGCATATCCTTGAATATAATTTAGATTCATAATTTATGCTCAATAACACTAGCATGTAGCAGGTTCTGGAGGTGTTGGACCAGAGCATTTTTAAACAGAGGCAGATAAGTGAGAGAGCGAATGGATGAAAGTTAACTGTTCCAGTCAGAAGGAGCTTTAAATTTAAATGAATGTTTTCCGACTTCTTTTTTAACTCTTGGGACAACAAAGAAACATTGGTTTGCATGGCGCAAACTGTAAGAGGATTGGAAAGGAATCAAATATTGTTTTAAATAGTCAGGAAAACTTAATTTGATACATTTAAAAATAAACAGCAGCCAATGAAGCTGAGGTCTGGAGGACAGAGCCACGACAGCTGCTCGTACAGAAGACTGTGGTGGGTCCTAAAGGGACAGCGGAGAATGAACCTACACAGGCTGTTGTATGTGACATTCAGAGGCTGGAGGATGGAGGCAGAAGTTCCTCAGGACTTCAGGTCTGGTCTGCCAATTTAATCGTGCCAGTACAGCTCACAAAAAATAGAAAAATGTATGATTGGCCACATGGACCAATGGAACTGCAGTGTTTTTGTGGTTCTTTTGAAAGACAGTGACCATTGAGAAGACACAAGCACAGGATAAAGCCCTGTTGAGAGCAGTAGAATGAACCATAAACACACACACACACACACAGAGGATTTCTGCTATGTATTTGATGAAACGTGACCTTGTGCTCCTTCGAGAAATGATGAAATGATGAGTATATACAGTATGAATTTGAAATGAAGGAGGGTCACTGATTTAATGTAATAAGATTTAATATAGTGAACAAACACGCACACACACACACATGGGAACACACACATTCATACAAGCACACACACACATGCATTCCCACACACACACACAAAAGTGTGTGTGTGAAAAGCTTTCTTTTCACATCTTTTTGTTTTTTCAATTTATTTGTATTTCCCTTCTACATTTTTGAGATTTTAAAGACTATTATTCTTTAACATATCTTTATTACAAGGAATAGCCTCTTGAGATGCATCATCTTGTTTTCAGGAGGGTCCTCATTAAAGTTCTTTGTTCAGACTGATAACAGTTTGTGGAAAGAAGCTGTTAGCATATCCAGATGTCCTGCATCTAAGCCAACGATATCTTCTGCCAGAGGGAAGAAGCTGGAACATGGCTTTTCCAGGGGCCAGAAGAGTCTATGAAAATTCTAAGGTTTAAGAGTCTGGATACATAAAGAATCTCCAGAACAGACAGCTCACATTCTCTTTCTCTCTAGTCTCTCTCTCTCTGTCTGGTCTCTCTCCCTCTGCTCTCTCTGGTCTCTCTCTCTCTCTCTCTAGTCTCTTTCTGGTCTATTCTAGTCTCTCTCTGGTCTCTTTTTAGTCTCTCTCTGGTCCCTGTCTCTGGTCTCTTTCTGGTCTCACTTTGATCTCTTTCTGGTCTCTCTCTCTCTGTCTGGTCTCTCTCCCTCTGCTCTCTCTGGTCTCTCTCTCTGGTCTCTCTCTCTCTAGTCTCTTTCTTCTCTTTCTGGTCTATTCTAGTCTCTCTCTGGTCTCATTCCTGTCTCACTTTGGTCTCTTTCTGGTCTCTCTCTCTACTCTCTCCCTAGTCTCTCTCTAGTCTCTCTCTAGTCTCTCCCTAGTCTCTCTCTGGTCTCTCTCTGGTCTCTCTCTGGTCTCTCTCTGGGCTCTCTCTGGTATCTTTCTCTGGTCTCTCTCTCTGGTCTCTCTTTAATCTCTGGTCTCTCTTTAGTCTTTGGTCTCTCTCTGGTCTCTGGTTTGTTTAGAGCTCTCCTTTCTTTCTCAGTGATGTTTCATATGTGTGTGTGTGTGTGTGTGTGTATGTGTATGTGTATGTGTATGTGTATGTGTATGTGTATGTGTATGTGTGTGTGTGTGTGTGTGTGTGTGTGTGTGGCAGACGGATACCCACAGGACGAGATGATTTACAAGTGGAGGAGGAACTCTTTGAAGGCGGCGGATCAGAAATCCTGGCGTTTGTATCAGTTCGACTTCATGGGACTGAGGAACACAACAGACGTCATCAGTACCACAGCCGGTAAGAGCAACCGCACAACTACACTACAAAAACAGCTCTAATAATGGATTTTAAAGTAACATGCAGTACAGGAGGCAAAATTAACAGAAATTATTCAGTTTGAAAAGGGGCAGACGCTGAGTTGGTTTTGACTCCTCATTCAATACCACACTCATACTCATATGTTCTTTTATTGAAAGCCTTCTTAGCTTTTCTTGTATCTGTTGGTTCCAAAGCCTGACGCTGAACAACAGAAACAAGTTAAAGAGTGTTGTGAGAACTTGCTCCAAAATCACTGGAGGAAAACTCAGAGATCTTCACTCTTAGTGGGAGGAACAGGTGCTGAATAAAGCACAATGTATTCTGGCTCAGCCCAAACATCCTCTGATCGCTGACTTTGTATTGATGCCTTCAGGGCGTTGTTTGTATGCTCCAGCACGGAAAACAAACCGTTTTTCCAAATCTTTTGTGCCCTCTGCCATACAACTGTTGAACTCTGGTAGAGGTGTTTGACTTTTGGGAATTGTGTTGTTCATTGTTGTTTGTAACTTATATTTTGTGTAACCTGCAGCTGTGTGAACTGTGAGACTCACTGTGTGTTTGTGTAGAGTATGTGTGTTCTGCTTTGAGTTTATGCAGCAAATGAATTGCCCTTTGGGATCAAGATAAGATAAGATAAGATAAACCTTTATTAGTCTCACAGTGGAGAAATTTCAGTGCCATCGTTGCACATTACAGCAGAGAAAGGAAATAAGAGCACTCAGATTGCACACATCAAAGTATTATTTAAGATAATAGACAATAAATGTAAGATAAAATAAAATAAAATAAGAAACTCTGGGTTATAATTGCACTTGGTTCGGAGTATTTACAGATGTCTATATTATACATTAGCAGCAGAGAATATGAGAATGTGAATATGAGCAGAATAAACATCAAAAATAATATCAACAGGTAAAGTGACTTGAATGGGAGAATTATCAGATGGATATGAATAATACAGTAAGATATCAACAGGTAAAGTGACGGTGAAAGGCAGAATTATCAGATATGAAATAATACAGTAGTACTGATAACAGTAAATATCAGATATGTAGTACTGTAGTAGTACTGATAACAGGTAAAGTGACTAGTGACATCAATAAAGTTTTTCTGAATCTGAATACACAAACACACAGACACACACACAATCACCCTCATGCCTTAGTGCTTGAGTGACTGGAGGAAACTTAGGCAGACACAGGGAGAATATGCAAACTCCACAGAGAAACTCTGGAGGTGGAATCAAACCATTCTTTCTCAGCCCTCATGACACTTATATTGTATATTTTGAGTTTTCCATGTGTGCTCTTACTACTGTCCTCTATGTGCGCTGCAACACTGAAATTTCCCCACTGTGGGATGAATAAATGTTCTCTTATATTATCTTAACTGCAAATGGCAAAGTAATGGATCTTAAAGATAGCCTATTGATAAATATTAAGTTTAGTTAATCCAATATATTTGTTAAAGTTTTTTCTCTGTAATGCCACAACGTAGGGAAAATAAGTAAACAATTGCTCAAATTTTACTAAATTTATCTAAACATGTTTTATATTGTTTTACCAATTTACAAGAAATGTCTCCCTTGGAATCAGAAATTAAATCAACAGTTTTTTCAAAAAAGACTAATTGGCTTTGTCCCATTGGCAAATCAGTCAGAATGTACTCAGATGAGGATATTTTATCATTTTTTGCAGTGTGGATTGTTGATGTGTGTGTCCTTTGTCCCAATGTCATGGAGTAATACCATTTTAATTCACTGTGACATCATCAGTTCTACTCAGAGCTACATAATGTCTTCACTTGTCCTTGAAACTTCAATCTGAGCGCTATTCGTCTCAGATTCGCTTCTTTAAAAGTAATTTTCTCCAACTTTAAATGAAAAACAAATTTCCTGTCTGACTCTCACTTGGAGCTCCTGCATATTCAGATAATAAGTCATTAAAATCTCTCTGAGTCTCAGCTCTGGTCTGATATTTTTCAAACTGCCAGAAAATGTAGTTTTTAGATGCAGTGTTTTTAGAGGTCAAATGATATTATACAGGAACAAAAACATGGTTAATTTTGTTTATTTATATACAGTCAATGTTTGAACCCCCTCTCCCCCCCTGGATCTACAGTCTCAGTCCTGGATCTACAGTCTCAGTCCTGGATCTACAGCCTCAGTCCTGGATCTACAGCCGCAGTCCTGGATCTACAGCCTCAGTCCTGGATCTACAGCCTCAGTCCTGGATCTACAGCCTCAGTCCTGGATCTACAGCCTCAGTCCTGGATCTACAGTCTCAGTCCTGGATCTACAGCCTCAGTCCTGGATCTACAGCCGCAGTCCTGGATCTACAGCCTCAGTCCTGGATCTACAGCCTCAGTCCTGGATCTACAGTCTCAGTCCTGGATCTACAGCCTCAGTCCTGGATCTACAGCCGCAGTCCTGGATCTACAGCCTCAGTCCTGGATCTACAGCCTCAGTCCTGGATCTACAGCCTCAGTCCTGGATCTACAGTCTCAGTCCTGGATCTACAGCCTCAGTCCTGGATCTACAACTTTGTTAAGTCCTCCGAGATAACTACTGTTGTGATTTAGGGCAAGAATATACAAGAATACATTGAATTGAAAAGAATTGAATGTTCTCTCTTGTCTTTAAGGCGACTATGTGGTGATGACTGTGTACTTCGACCTGAGCAGGAGGATGGGATTCTTCACTATCCAGACCTACATCCCCTGCATCCTCACTGTGGTCCTGTCCTGGGTATCCTTCTGGATCAAGAAAGAAGCCACTCCCGCCAGGACTGCTCTAGGTAAGAACGCCCAAAGCTAAATACTAGTGCTGTCCAACGATTAAAATATTTAATCGCGATTAATCGCATGAATTTCGTAGTTAACTCGCGATTAATCGCAAATTAGTCACACATTTGTATCTATTCTTTATGTCCCTTGAATTATCATTTTAATACTACTAAAAAGTGAATAGGCCTGCTGTGTGCAATTGCTTTTTTAAATATTTTGTAAATTTGTTCATGTAAATACTCTATGCTGTTTCTCTGTTTACTTTCGGTATATCTATGACTGTATACTGTTTGCTTATTGCCTTTTTTATTAACCCCTCCCCCCCATCTCCCACTTCATGTCCCCCCCCCCTCCTATGTGCCCTTCTGGGTTTCTTCTTTGGCCCCCTGTATCTCCAACTACATATTGTTTGTAATCTCTGTCTACAATGTATCTGAACTAGTCCTTTTCTTTGTTTCTATTTTTTTTTTCTGTATATGTGTTTGTATGCAATAAAAAGTAAAAAAAATAAAAATAAAATAAAAATGACGCCGTTAATATTGATTTGCGTTAACGCGTTAATAACGCGATATTTTGGACAGCACTAAAATACCAGTTACACCATTTACTGTGTTGTGTAAGTAAGTATGTAAGTAAGAATAAGATTTCAAACACACATCAAACAAGATACAAAATACTGAAACTGAAATGGCTCCAACCCCTCTCTCTCACTCATTCAAATCCAACCCAAGCCGACACACACACACACACTCGACACAAGCACAACACAAACAACACACATAACAAGATACAGGCCCAAACACTCTCTGATCACACACCTTGCATTTTAAATTGTAACAGATTGCTGTCAGATATTTCTGGGGTTGGTGTTGTCGGAATCATCAGAAATCTTGTATGGCAATCTGTATATTTGTACTTTCTGATGTAAATGTCTTTTTATTTGAGTTAAGTGATTTAGAACATCAGGTAATGGGGCTCAGTCTGTTATAGTCTGTTTGCCTGCTTTTGTATGTATTATTTTATGTATTTTTAAGGAGTAATATACAAACTCAATTTAATTCATTTTTGTATAGCCCTTAATCACAGCAGCAGTCGTCTCAGGGGACTTCACAAAGTTGTCAATTCACCAACAGCAGATCAAATACAAGAAAAACAATAATAACAAACACATAGACGCTATTGGCTATTGGAAACGGTATGACCACTGTCTGGAAATGTCCCCGGTCATCACTGTCCTTAGACCCTTCTGAATCAAGGAACAAAAATAGATTAAAAAAAAAAAACAGTAGGAAAAATCTGTGAAATGTCATTGAGGCCCAGATTGAGAGAAATTTCCCAGGTCTGGTCAAGTTAGGAAAAATCACCAAAATATATATATATATTTTCTTATGGGTAGTTTTTAATCACTGTAGCGGGTTAATTTGACCCAAGGATGACAGTTGTATTTCTATATATAACCTACCGAGTTGAAGAGACAATAATGTGACCATAATAAGTGTGTTTGAATAGATCTTTGTCTGATTTTGTGTGGTTTGTGTGTGAGGTACTGTTGTTTGAACCACCTTTTAACAGTCCGCTTCCTGGATGTGGGCGTGGAGCTGATTCCACAGTGTATAAGCTTGGTAATAATGAAATAGTAAAAATGTTGATCCCTTTGAAACAAACTAATGAACAGCTAACACTGATTCGTTACTTGAAGTGTTTTTTATATCTTGTGTCCTTATTTTTCCAAACGTGTTGTTTTTTTCCCTGTAACTGTGACAGAGAAGATGCATGACCCCAGAGCACGTTCAGACGGAGCTGTCATTGAAGATAAATGCTTCCTGGTTCTTCGCCTCATTGTTTAGCGGCGGAAACAGAAAAGTGTCCGGTGTCTCAGGGCTGAGTATTCACTGAGGAGGAGTGAAGGACGAGATCAAAATAACTGAACAGCACAGGTGGCAAAAACACTAGTCTTCGCTACTGAAGCAAAGCATTGTATTAAAATCAACTCCTGATGACAGTAAAAGTATTGAGGACATTCCATTGATTAAAATATGAAAATAAAATCCAAACTCCACACAGAAAGACCAACCTCTGCCTCCCTATTTAAAAAAAAAAAAAATCTACAGCGCGAGTCCTGGACCTACCGCCTTAGGCCACAGCCTTTTCTCTATCATAGTTAAGGAACCAAATAAGCACAAATACTACATATTGTTTGTAATCTCTGTCTACAATGTATCTGAACTAGTCCTTTTCTTTGTTTCTATTTTTTTTTTCTGTATATGTGTTTGTATGCAATAAAAAGTAAAAAAAATAAAAATAAAATAAAAATGACGCCGTTAATATTGATTTGCGTTAACGCGTTAATAACGCGATATTTTGGACAGCACTAAAATACCAGTTTAAAAAAAAAAAAAATCTACAGCGCGAGTCCTGGACCTACCGCCTTAGGCCACAGCCTTTTCTTTATCATAGTTAAGGAACCAAATAAGCACAAATAATATTCAAATGTATCTCCACATTTTGGCCTTCCTCCACATCTACCCTCACAACATAACGAGAGCAGATCCATCAGGTTATACAGTACTTCTACTAGTACTTATAAAGACCAGAACAATAGTTTCTCTCCAGCAGGGAACAATATCTCCATGTCACCGACAATATGACTTTAGCTGCAATATATAATCAGTGTCATGTTGCAGAGAATTAAGGTGAGAGGCAATAATTACACTCATTATTTCAGTCAAATATCAGAATCGGAACAGTTTTTCCAGGTTTTTCCCCTCTCTATAGTTTGACAAAGTTAAAACTGCGTCATGGAACAAAGTTATAACGTTGTCCCTTCTGTCTGAATCAGACCTGGGGGCGAAATACGGCCCGGGGGCCGGGTTCAGCCCACCAAGCACTTTAATTCAGCCTGAATTTTTCATAAAAGTGTAAGTAGATAGTATAGACGGCGGTAGAGAGCAAGTGGTGAAAAGGTGGTACTGCACCCTAAAATCCCCAGAAAAGAGACGGCGCTCTTGAGCAAGTGGTGAAAGGTGTTACTGCACATTGTTTTTCAAAGAGTTTCAATGAGTTAGCTTCTATTGGCCTGTGTGTGTGTGATAATGTTTCACAGTTGTCTAAAGTGATTTATGATCACGGTGTATTCTAAAACAAGCAGTTAGGTCAATAAACTAATTAATCTACAGGTCCTCCCTGTTAACGACACGTGTGTGTGTCTGATAGTGATGAGCGGTTGGGAGGTCGTACTAACACCAAATCAGAATGGGTGGGAGGTCTATTACAAGCATTGTAAGGCCTCTTTAGACCTGCTTCGTCCCTGCTATTAGACCTGCTTTAGACCTCTCTAGACCTGGTTTATTCCTGCTCGAGAATGCTTTAGACCTGGTTTAACCTCCGTTAAAGCTTGCTTTAGACCTGCCCTTAGAACCTGCATAGGGCGGCCTCAGCCCTGGGTGGGAGGTCTATTACTGGGTGGGAGGTCTATTACAAGCTTTAGAACCTGCCTTTGTCTCCCAGACCTGTTTCCATTTAGACGCTTTTTTATCATGTATAAGACATATAACGAATTCAACGAGAAGGAAATTATGACCATCTGTGACGATAATTGCTGTAGTTTCTCAAGACACATTTAAACAATGCAGAACACAAACATTCTCTATAACTGGTCTAAAAAGGTCTTATTTCACTTTACGGTCATAATGACTTTAAACAAGGGGCAAGCGTATGACAGTCTCATCCTGTTTGATCCCTGAAACAGACCGTCCAAGACTAAATGTTTAATTAGTACTTAACATTCTCACAAGTATGTGCATGTTCTTGTTTAATCTAATTCCTGGTTTAGTCCCAGATTGAGACAACGTGGCTGATGGTTAGCATTCTCGCCTCTCACCAAGTAGGGCCTGACCAAGCCGAGCATCAGCATTTTTGTAACTGCTTTTGTCAGACTTATGGGACAGGCGAGTGGGCGCATTAGCAATAAGGATGTACAAATTTTGTACAGACAACACATGGGCGAGTACATGGGCGGACGATGAGGTTGAACTGTTGCTACGGGTCACACTGGATTACAAAACCAACAAGCTACATTGTTGTTGTCATTATTTTCTGAGTGCGGCGCATGCGTGCTTTAACAATAGGCGGGGCGATGACGCAAGCGTCTCAGATACATTGCGGAGAGGCAGTAACCACGGAGCGGCATATACGGAGTTTTGAAATCTTTCCACTCTGGGACCTAGTTTCAAAAATGTTCGTTTACACCCCCCCAAAACGCCGGCCTCGTATGGACGATACACTGGAGTGATAAAGTAGTTTTGGCGTTGAGGCCTGGAGCTTGACTTTCGTGTGGACAGGGCCAAAGACTCTTCCACAGCTGTAGACATTCACTCCATAGACAGTGGTGATATCCTACAATATTTATAAGCTGCCCCGGCAACACCAGTAATTGTGCCATCAAGCCCTTCCCACCACCCACTCAGCCATTCTCACAAACACCAGACCTCATGACCTAATGTGGATGAGTGTCTTGTCTACAGGACACACGCGAAAATTTGGCACTTGACAGCCGCCCCTAAGCGGCTGGTTGCGTTGCCCAGAGGGTTCCCGCTATAGTACTAACCAGGCATTGGCCAAATTCTTGTTTTATGAACAGTCAGACATGGCAAAACCATTTATTACCGATATTACCATCAGATTCTAATCCTTTTATTTCAGTGGGTGAGGTGATTCGTTGTTGTAAAGGGCTTCTTGATTACTATATTTTTTGAGATCTTGCCTGTAGAGTTGCAACTGGTCAAAAAGTAAACTTCACCAAATTAAAAATACATAAACAAGGCAAACAATTATCATGGCAAAGGAAAAGATGTCCATAACAGAATAATAATAATCTAAGGGGGGTAATATGCATAAAGCAAAAGATTGACAAGATTGAAAACAGAGAAAAACATGTATATAATCACTAATGATAAAGATAATAATAATTAAACTACAAAAAAAGGTGGAAAGTCGTGTGGTTGTGGGTTCGCCCTGCGATCGTCCCTTTAGTGACTTTTCGTTTATGTTTGTGAGGTCCGGACCCGAGCTGTCCCAATCTTTAAAACTCCGACCTCAGCAGTCTGACAGCTCTTATCGATCCTCGGCATGGACTCGCACACATCCCCAACCCATGCTCCCCACACCTGCCACCTTTAGAAATATCACGAGCCATTTGACTTTGGGGATGGATTTTGGCCACCCTCCTGCCCGCTGTGATGAAAAAATACTAACAGTATAAACAGAGAGGATGCTATACAAGCCTGCAGCTTCTAAGAGTATTATGGGTTAGGGGAATGTTGTGAAGAATGGATCATCTTTCTGACTCGATGTGCTTAAAACTGAAAGACTCCTGGGTCAACAGATAGTGAGGTCATTTAAAGCTGGGGTACCTGGATTTCAAATGGTTCATGGAACCACTAGCCAAAGCCATGGACCAGCCATGCCACTACGATACTACTAACTCTAAATCTATGAGGATCTGGAGCTTGGCTGTCAAACGAGCCAGTGTTTTCAGCTATAAGAAACCAATCAACGAGAATTAGGGAAGTGGCGGCAGAAAAGGAAAATACTGTTGATTTTTAGACAACGTATTGGTCACCAACAAACAGTAAGTTTTAGTTATTAAGTATATCAGTCACGTTATTCCTTGTGGTCCCAGTATTTGAACCTACCGAGACTCAGGGGAGAACTCCATTCACATTTAATGTATGATTTATTTTTGCATAGCCCCTAAAAATCATCAGCAGTATTTAGCTCAGCGAGCTCTTTCTTACCATCAAAAGCTCATTGAAATGGTCAAAACACATCAAAATTGCATACACCAAAACACTTATGTATTGGTCCCCAAGGGAGTTGACCACTGTCCATGGAATGTTGATAAAAGTCCACCACCATGTTGCTAGAATGTTCAAAGTGTCCTGGGCCATCACCCACAGTCCTCTCTGATAGACACTAACTGTCCCAACAGACCCTCACTGCATTGGCTAAGGAAATACTCTAAAAACCCAGTGGGAAAACGTGCGAAATCCTCGGGACACATTGAGGAAAGGGATCCGCTCCACACAGACAGACAGGCTATAGATCCAGAATCTAAGTTACAGAACGAGGACCTGTTGTAGAACATGGTCAGGTCTGAAGCAACTCGGAAATATTTATTGGAAACTTGGTTCCAGTCGGTCTCCTATTTGTCTATCTATGATCAATCATGTTAATCATCTATGATTAACATGTTTAATTTGTCTGTAACACATTGTAAGACATTGTAGAAGAAATGCAGCAGTAATACATTCCTCATGTTGTGTTTTGTCTCTTAGGAAATGGAACTTTGATCGGAGCTTCGGCCAACGTGGTGTGCGCTGGTATCGCTGAGCAGCACGGATATGGCTTTTCATTCATGGAGTTTTTCAAGTAAGTCCACTCTGCTCCTGTAAACTATTTATTCACTATGTAAGTCCACTCTGCTCCTGTAACCTATTTATTCACTATGTAAGTCCACTCTGCTGTCTCAAAGATCCCATATTAAGCTTTTTTACATTAATTTTTATTTAACTTAGGAAAGTCCCATTGAGATTAAGAACCTCTTTTTCAAGGAGTTCTGGACAAAAGTTACACACAATTTTATAAAATTACAGATTATAAAACCAGTTACACGTCATTTCGTAAAATTAGGGATTATTAATCAGTAAAACACAATTTTATAAAATTACAGATAAAAAAAACATTTATATGTCAAAGAGTCTCAAGTGTTCTCATTCCGGATTTAAAAGTATTCAATGAAAAAACAACAAAATATCATTTGACTAAAAACCATAAGAACTAACATCTCTCTGTGTGATTGAATGGCAGATGTAAGAGGGCAGTTTGCCAAGCACAGCCTTATCATGTGCAATGTGCAATACTGCTACTTCAGAATGTCTACTGAATGTTACTTTATCTACTCAGAACAGGAAGCTCACAGCCCACGGTCCTCTTTGCAGAGCGGAGCACCTTGTTTAAAGCTCTCTTTTCTTTATCTGTGATGTTTCCAAACCACACAGACACAGAACCAACAAGTAAATTCTCAATGGTGCAGCGATAAAAGTTAAGCAGAATCTTAGAGTTAGTGGTAAATTCTTTAAGTTTACGCAGAAAGTAGAGACGCTGACAAGCTTTCTCAATGACCCGGTCAGTGTTTTTGTCCCACTTTAGGTCGTTAGACAGAGTTAAACCCAGAAATTTACACTCCTCTATAATCTGCACCTGGGAGTTATTGATAACAACAGGAGGTTGAGAACTGTTACGACTGAAGTCAAAGACCAGCTCACATGTTTTCGATGCGTTCAACTGGAGGTTGTTAGTTTTACTCCACTGAACCACATTTTGTATCTCTGCTCTATAAGAGGATTCATCAGTGTCACTGATGAGACCGATGATGGTGGTGTCATCAGCATATTTGATGATCAAGTTTGAGTCAGAGGAAGACACACAATCGTGAGTGTACAAAGTAAAAAGCAAAGGACTCAAAATACATCCCTGAGGAGATCCGGTGCTCACAGCACTAACATCTTAAAAACAGTCGTTGATTTTCACTCTCTGAGATCTGTCAGTTAAAAAGCCAAAAATCCATTTACACATGGCAACACTTAAACCGAGAGACATGAGCTTTTCAATCAGTTTACCTGGGAAAAGGCAGTTAAAAGCAGAGCTATAATCGATGAAAAGCATTCTCGCGACAGATTTACTAGTGTCCAAGTGACTGTAGACAGAGTTCAGAGCAAAGGAGATGGCATCCTCCACACTCAGGAAGTCACAGATTATGAAATTTCCTTGGCTCTAGGTGCAAACAAGTCAAAAGTAGAGAGGTAGAGAATAGAGTAAGGCATAGTAAGAATCAACATACATTTCTAAAATATAAACATTACATTTTTACTATTCATAAAAGACTAAATACAGGTGCAAACAATAGACATTAAGCAGTGCAGTAAGGGGACAGTGTCGTTATAAAGGTTTTGTTCAAGAGTCCAACAGCAGAGGGGAAGAAACTTATGGCGGTAGTTTCTGGTCCAAATGGACCATAGCTTTCTGCCTGAGGAGAGAGGTTGGAACAGCCCATGTGCCAAGTGAGAGGGGTCTGCAGTGATACAACCAGCCTGGCCTCGAGCTCGCGATGGGAAGCTACGGCCGATCACTTCCTCTGCAGAGCGCACAATGCGCTGTAGTCTCTGCTTGTCCCTGACTGTGGCTCCAGAGATCCACACAATGATGGAAGAGGTGAGGATGGACTCGATGATGGCCGTGTAGAACTGCACCAACATCTGTGCAGGCAGCATGGCTTTCCTGAGCTGCCGCAGGAAGTACATCCTCTGCTGGGCCTTCTCAATGAGGGAGCTGATGGTTGGCTCCCACTTGAGGTCCTGGGTGATGGTGGTGCCCAGGAAACGAAAGGACTCCACAGAGGTGATGGGGGAGTCCATCACGGAGGGTGGGGGCGGGGGGACAGTGCTCTTCCTGAAGTCAACAATCATCTCCACTGTCTTCTGGGCGTTCAGCTCCAGGTTGTTACCACTGCACCAGGACACCAGCCGGTCCACCTCCCTCCTGTAGGCGGACTTATCGTTGTCCGAGATGAGTCCAATGAGGGTGGTGTCGTCCGCAAACTTGAAGCTTTACAGAGTTGTTGCTGGAGGTGCAGTGGTTGGTGTACAGGGAGAAGAGCAGGGGAGAAAAAGCACAGCCTTTTGGGGCGTCCCGAGACGCACACGCTGCTTACAGTTCGTCAGGAGGTCAGTGATCCACCTGCAGGTGGAATCGGGCACATTGAGCTGGTAGAGCTTGTCCTGGAGCAGGGATGGCAGGAGGATGTTGAAGGCAGAGCTGAAGTCTACAAACAGGACCCTGGCATAGATTCCCGGGGAGGCCAGATTTATGGCTTTGTCTACAGATCTATTAGCTCTGTAGGCGAACTGCAGGGGATCCAGGAGGAAGGAGGTGAAGGACTTGCTAAAATGACGTTATCACTACAGATGTCAGAGCCACGGGTCTGCAGTCCAGTGATCCGGGCCCTGGTCTTCTTGGGGACAGGGACAATGGTAGAGGTCTTGAAGCAGGCCGGGACGTGGCAAGACTCCAGCAAGTTGTTAAAAATATCAGCAAAGATTGGAGTAAGCACGTTTGAAGCATGTCTCTGTGTGGCCAGTGAGACAACGTCAAATTCGGGGGCCTTTATGAGGATGCAGCCTCAAGAAGAGTCTATAGACCTCCTCCTGCGCAATTGTCAGTGAGGGGGGAGGGGCAACGGAGGAGCTGATGGGTGAGGTGTCATTTGAGCAGTGGGGGGAGGGGTCAGGACAACGTCAACACGGCTGAAAAAAACAGGTTACAGTTTATAATGAACCTCAGAGAAGCATGATACCCTGTGTCAATCTGATGAAGAATCCTTACTCATGCCCACAGTAGTTTTTTAATTGGTTCCCTCAAGCTTTATCAGAGAGCTATCATTTTCTATCATACTGGTGCCAGACCGCAACCTGCAATTCTTTCTTTGAGGAGTTTGGTGCTCTGTGACTTGGGGGGCATCTTTGATTGCTACCCCCCCGACCCAGAAATGGATTAAGGGGAAGAAGATGAATGGATGGATGGATGGAGAAGTTTGTTTCATTTTCAGAAATGTCCTTGTTCTATATAGCTCTCTCGCTTCTCAGCAAGAAGGTCCTGGAATCCCGTCTTTCTGAGTGGAGATTGCATGTTCTCCCATGTCTTCGTAGGTTTTCCCCTGGGTGCTCCAGTTACCCCTGCCACTAAAAACAATAGGTCAAAAAATCCTCCAGCTCCGATAGTCTTGAACAAGCTGAGCATCAACCTCTTGATTCCCGCTGAACAACGGCGACAGAGGGCCTAGTGGCATCAGGATTGGGCAAATGCAGAGGATTAATTGCCCTTACACTTTGAATTGGTTGAACCAATAATGCAAATAAGACTGCTCAGAAGAGTTATGCCATCTTATAACGGTCTTACCCTGTCTATCCCTGTGCATCTTCAAATAACAACACTGGGTTCATTTCTGGCTCAGTCACATGTGTTAGAGATAGAAAAGAGTTCTATATACTTTGAGTGTATAGAGTCCGGTTCCCTCGGTGCTTCTATTAGACCAGAGACGTCTTCTGACAGAAAGCACAAATTGGAAGATATGAGGTGTTTGACCCCTGTAGCTGGTGGGAGTTTGGAGCTGTCTGGATAATTGGTGGAGTGTCGCAGGTCACAGGTCACAGGTGAAGAGACAGGAGTGAAGCAGCTGCTCAACACTGGTTATACTTAGAGACTGTACAGGTTTTAATCCCAGCGTTCAATTTTACATTTAGATAGAAGTGTTTCCCCATGTGGCTGTGCTTGCCAACCTTGCTTGATTGTGTCTGTATACATGTGGAATGTGGATCCAAGCAGTAATACGCATTATAGATTATTGTGGCACATCAATTATTATACAGTTTCTTTTAACATATTTTTTCAATTAAATAGCATTTAATTTTAAGAAACACAGAGGAAAGAGACTTGAGCTCAACACTCACAATATTGGATGTTTATGTTCTGAAAATTGTCCTATGTTTTAACAACTTTATTCCAATATTTATTTAAATCTCTTTGCAAACGTTCCAGAACCTTGTGGTCGTTTGTGCGGGAGATTTTCTGTCCAAAGTGAAAGCTAAGTCCTTGGTTTTTCTCTGGTATCTCTCTCTCCAGTCTCTCTCTGGTCTTTCTCTACAGTCTCTAGCCCCTCTCTGGCCTCTCTGGTCTCTCTCTGGTCTCTCTAGCCTCTCCCTGGTCTCTCTTTGGTCTCTCTCTGGTCTCTCTCTGGTCTCTCTCTGGTCTCACTAGCCTCTCCCTGGTCTCTCTCTGGTCTCTCTCTGGTCTCACTAGCCTCTCCCTGGTCTCTCTCTGGTCTCTCTCTGGTCTCACTAGCCTCTCCCTGGTCTCTCTCTGGTCTCTCTCTGGTCTCTCTGGTCTCACTAGCCTCTCTCTGGTCTCTCTCTGGTCTCTCTCTGGTCTCACTAGCCTCTCTCTGGTCTCTCTCTGGTCTCGCTCTGGTCTCTCTCTGGTCTCTCTCTGATCTCTCTCTGGTCTCGCTCTGGTCTCTCGATACTATGTGCTGACTTCAGAGCCATAAACGGTCAGGGCCCCACAGTACATCCTGCCCTTTTGTGCCATATTCCTCTGGCCGACCCTTCGTCCACCGTCAGAACTTGCATGTTTGTCCCAAAAAGAATCGTTTAAAACCGAGGGACCTATCTTTCAGTCCGCTGCGCCCCAATGGGGGAACGCCTTTGTCCCTGTCTCTGCGTCGGCCGGATCTGTGGAGTCTTTTTTAAAAAGGTCCTGAAGACATTCTATTCTAAAAAGCTTATTTGATGGGTTTTCATGGGGGGGGGGGGGGGGGGG